CGATTTTTACTTTAGCGCGCTTCCACATATAATGTGACTTCTCAAATTGGCGGAGGGCGTGATTCATTGTTTCACTTTCGAGATATGGGGGTGTGCGGATTTGCCCCGAGGGCGGACTAGCCCAATCCCCCCCTATATTATACAAAGATAGAGAGTATTTTTCTTGTTCAGTTCAATACACGGTGTTTTGATGACTTTTCTTGTGATACTTTTATCGTGTCCTGTAAAGTTTACGCTGCTTAAATACTGCTTCTGAGTCAATCGATGGATTTTTAAAATGATAAATTTACTATTGAGCACAGTCATATTCACGTCTGTGGTTAATTTTCAGGTAACGCCTCAGTTGCCAATAACTTTACGATTGCAGCGGACACCCCAAATGCGACTGCCTCTGAGCGCTGCGTTGCCTATCGCGATATCACCATTAACTTCACAGATTCGATCAATGACAATGGCTGTGGGGTGGACATCCAGCGCACGTGGTTCGTTCAAGACGGGTGTGGAAACGTAGTCCAGTCGATTCAGAACGTGTCCGTGTACACCTCATGGAACGCTTTCCGGGCAGACCCGTCATCTAACTGTACAACAGTACTGCAGAGAGTTGGTTGCAGCGATAGCACTGAAGGTAATTAAGGCGGACGTCTTAAACTTTTAAAATTATGCGTACTTGACGCAACGTTTCTACATGTAATAAGTAGACGTGTTAAATACAATATTCAAGTTTTGAAGAGTTTCATTTGCTATATTATTGTAATAGACTTATAAAGATTCTTTTGTCTATAGCTACTTATATTTGTCTGGTCTAAGTAGCCAATATGTCAGACTTCATTAGGGCAAGAAATTACAACTTCTTGATCAGGGAATGAGGTTGTGATAGATGTGACAACCTATCACCCCCTGTGTCGTGCTATTTGGTCCCCCCCCCCCCGCCTGCCCCTCCCTTAGGAGTAGTAGGTAGAGGTTGGGTACCTCACATCTATCACAACCTCATTCTCTGATGAAATATTTTCTGGTAGATCTAAGACCAGACAAATATAAGTATCTATAGACAAAAGAATCTTCACAGGTCCAATATTCAATTAAAATTCACGTGTTAATAGTTTAAACTATAATCATGCTATTGTTGCTAATGCTAACGCTATTTGCTCATTACGTTTATTGCGTTCACCTGCAAAAATTGTGTGCAACAATATGCTTGTTAATCGACAGACATCCTCAATAGTTTCAGAGATTGGTCAATGCGCAAATTCCCCATGCAATGGGAATGAAAGCCAGTTTGCTCTTTTCGATGGTTATAAGTGTAGCTGTGACTTGTCTGGGGGCGGTGCAAAATGTTTAAAAGGTAGGTGTTTGATCACATAATCTCACCGTGTGATTTATATGTGCATGTAACAAACAAGATCAAAACACCGCGATAGGTCGAACGTCAAACGTATTGTACTTCCTGGTATGAACATGACAACGAAGGAATCCTAACGTGAATAGTGATGCTCAATATTTATACAAACATGCCATTGTGAGACAATTAGATGCCATATCTGAAGTAAAAGGCATATGTGTGTTTAAATATGCATTTCTTTTTTAACCTCGCATTATATTTTATTCATTAATGAATTTGTTCGCCTCTCCATTGTCCTTTTAGATTGGTGTGCTGGTAATACTTCTATCAATGAAGGTGTGTGTGGCAGCAATGAGACGGCTTACCAATGCGTCCAGTGTACCTGTCCCGTAGAGTTCTATGGAAAACACTGCGATCAAATAAGTAATGCTAATCACTTTATAAGCAAGGCAGGGTTAATAAAAAGAAAATGTGTTTGCTGAACATACGTATATAGAAATTAATTCTACATAATCTAAACAAGAGCTGAAGCACAAGTATAGATACCTGCCCTGTAGGGCTCCATGGAAAACACTGCAAGCAAATAAGTAATGCTAATCACTTTATAATCAATGCAGGGTTAATAAAAAGAAATTGTATTTGCTGAACGTACGTAGAGAATTTGATACTTAATAATCTAAACAAGAACAGAAATGCAGGTATAGATACAGCGACGCACGCAACAATCTGTTCTTTACATTTTATCGGACTGTCTCTTTTTAGATTGGTGTGCTGTTGATCCTTGTCAAAATGGAGGTGTGTGTACCAACAATGAGACGAGTTACCAGTGTATCTGTCCACCAGGATTCCATGGAAGACATTGTGACCTAATAAGTAAATACTGATAACCTAATACGCAAGGCAGGATTACAGAAAAGAAATTTTTGTAGTACATGGTCTTGTAGCATTTTTTTGGTTTTCATTGAGAAATTTGGAGCTGCTGTACTGTATCGACATGCGCTCTCTGCTAAACGAGTACTACATTATAGAGGGCCATTTACTTGCAATATCTGATTGAAGTATTCATAATAAGCCACATTATAATAATAATGATAATAATAATTATTATTATTATTATTATATTATTTAGACTACTACTTAGTCGAGGAAGGATTTCATTTACAAACATTGCTTTTGCCAATGTAACATATCTCTACATTTAACAACTGTTTAAACTAAACGAAAGCGCGATTACTATCGGGGTGAAAGAATGGGGTATGTTGCAATCAAATATCTCTGGTAAGAGACGTGTTTCAGATAGGCTGGGGTTTTTTCTACATTGAATAATCTTATACTGGCCTCCGCTGTCTTTTTAGATTGGTGTGCTGGTGATCCTTGTCAAAATGGAGGTGTGTGTATCACCAATGAGACGACCTACCAGTGTATGTGTCCACCAGGATTCCATGGAAGACATTGTGACCTAATAAGTAAATACTGATAAACTAATACGCAAGGCAGGGTTACGGAAAATAATAGTTTGTAGTACATGGTCTTGTAGAATTTTTCAGTTTTCATTGAGAAATTTGGAGCTGCTGTACCGACATGTATTCAGCACTTTGTTTTTTGTCCGTTCTGCTAAACGAGACTACATTGTAGAGGGTCATTTACTTGCGATATCTGATTGAAGTATTCATAATAAGCCACATTATTATTATTATTATTATTATTACTATTTAGACTACTACTAAGTTTAGTTGAAGGAGGAATTCCTTTACAACATCGTTTTTGCCATGTGACATTCCTCTACATTTAAAAACGTTTTAAACTAAACGAAAGCGCGATTACTATCGGGGTGAAAGAATGGGGTATGTTGCAATCAAATGAGCCTGGTGTTTTAGATGAGCCGAGTCTCGTTTTTTTCTACATTGAATAACTGTCTACTGGCCTCCGCTGTCTTTTTAGATTGGTGTGCTGGTAATCCTTGTCACAATGGAAGTGTGTGTATCAACAATGAGACGATTTACCAGTGTGTCTGTCCACCAGGATTCCATGGAAGACATTGTGACGAAATAAGTAAATGTTCCACTGATTACTTTATACGTAAGGCTCATGGTCTTGTTCAAGTTTTCTGTTTTCATTGAGAAATTTGGAGCTGTTGTAGGCTTTTTTAGGCTCTTTTTTTAGTCTGTTCTGCTAAACGAGTACTTCATTGCACAGTATCATTTATTGCACTATCTGATCGATGTTTTAATAATAAGTCACATTATTATTATTATTATTTAGGCCTATCCTACTACTTAGTTGAAGGAGGATTTTCTTTAAAACGTCATTTTTGACGTTTAACATTTACCACATTTAAAAAACAGTTTAATCTAGACGAAAGCACGTTCTATCGGATTGGAAGAATAGGGAATGTTGCAATTAAGCATCGATGGTAAGAGACAGATATTTCTTTCCGACATCGTTGTCTACATTCAATAACTGTCTACGGGCCTCCCTTGTCCCTTTTTAGATTGGTGTGCTGAAAACCCTTGTCAAAATGGAGGTGTGTGTATCAACAATGAGACGAGTTACCAGTGTTTCTGTCCACCAGGATTCCATGGAAGACATTGTGATCAAATAAGTAAATATATATTACTAAATAAGAAAGGCTTGGGCGGCAGTTGTTGTACATACACTTGTGTAGCTTTTCAGGTTTATCAGTGTGTGCCTCTTTGCACTCTCTGCCTTATGTAGCATAGTTATCAAAAATACAGACTTGATACATATGTATTTATATGGAATATTTTCCAAATAATTTTTCTTTGATTTTTCCTTCTTGTTTAAACCAGTCTAGCTATTACAATGGTCCTTTAAAACGCTTTACGGTGACAATTTGCCCCTCATTCTGTACAGAACTTGTTTTTGTTTATTTGTAGCAGCAAAATCGTAAGAACGATGTCTCCTGTTTCTTTGTGGTAGATACAATAGTATGGGCACACCCATGTAAGACCGTGCAGAGCGTTCCTTGCGACCCAATAATTTATCTAGTAATGTCTATGTGTTTTACGTCATTGTGGCATTTATCAAAAAGGCGGTAACAATCTGCTGCCCGTGCAGTTTATTTGCACCGCAACATCCACTACTTGTTTGCAAAATGCAAAGTCATCTTTGTGGCCTTTGTCGAAATATTGAAACTTTTTGACTGAACCATGCTCTGCCAAAGTCATACTTAGACCAGCCCAAAGAGTACTACCCAAAGAAATCGCCATGCACACATTACATAATGCAGCAGTGCTTCAGACAGGGCAGTCAGTTAATTACTGACACACCTGGCTTTTATCTATACTCATAATTCACATGAGATACACGTATTAAAAATAAGTAACACGTTTTACCTAGACATACCTTTGAAACTAAAATATTCCATATTAAATGTCAAGCCTGTATTAGGACAGTGGATAGAACCACTACTTTGGAAGAAATTGAACAAAACCCTTTCATCTATGAACCATGATAAGCTTTATTCCACATTTAACGATAAAATCAAAGTAAAAACGTTTTTCTGCTAACCACTGGTAATTGAATCATGGCTGCCACGGCAATGGAGCGTCCATTGTAAGAGAGTTTTTTTCTGGACGCGCCTCAAGTTGTCTACATTCAATAACCGTATACGGACCCCATTCTCTCTTTTTAGATTGGTGTTCCTGTAATCCTTGTTACAATGGAGGTGTGTGTGTCAACAATGAGATGAGTTACCATTGTATATGTCCACCGGGGTTCTTTGGAATACACTGTGATCAAATAAGTAAGTATTGATTACTTAATAAGACAGGGTTGGGTGGCATTTGCTTAACAAACCCATGTCGGAATGTCCAATGATTTTCTGTTTTCACTTTTTTGGACGATGATTGTAGATGGTTCATGACCTCTTTCTGGAGTGCTGATGTATAGAGTCACCTATTTTATATAACTACAAAACGTCAAAATATATCTTGTCCGCATATCTTTGTGGCTATATTTGTCAAATCCCTCTCCTTCAGTAGCAGGCAAATGACAAGATACGAAACGTTAAATGCACAGACGTCTTATTAAACTTAATTTATTAGAAAAATAAAAGATATTATAGTTAGGAAATGACGACGACAGGAGCGTTCGAATGTTTATTCATCGATTCTCTTTTCATACAATTTCACTAGTATTTAAACTCTATTTCTCCGTATGCCTCGATGCCTCTTACAGAAATTTAACTTACATTCAATAACTCCCTATCCTTTTACTCGTTTGATTCCGTTTAAATTATTATCTGCAATTACTGAAAGTGTAAATAATTTACTTTCAAACAAAGAGTTTATCTAATTCCAGTTAAAAATTTAACCACAGCCCAGTCAAATGCCCGTGCAGCTGCTCAAGAGACGAGCCGTATCACCACTTTGGTCCCTTCTGTTACAGCAACTGGCGTGGTACTGGTATGCGTGGTTTGCATTACCGCTGCATTGTGGAATCGCTATCTGAAGAAAAGGTATCGCTGTGCTAGGAGTGCTGTCTCCTTTTTTCCGGTTCTAGGGACTGACTTGTACTGTTTTGTTTTGACAAAAATACACTCAAATACGTACATTTTTTGTCTTATTTTCACATTTATACGTCTTAATTCGATAATTAAATTATATTGCATCCTTCAATTCAGAGGATACTGTACAAAGCATTTATGTGTGGCTTTGTTTTTTTTTTTTTTACTAATGTCAGCTAATTCATTGGTTGTACAATTAGTAAATGTTGCGAAAGAAATCCAGAAGTCGAATCAGAAACCATTGTTTATGTCATGATTTTCTGTATCATTCTGCTAAGGCATTAGGGATGACATTTCTTTTTGCTAGGGGAGTATATTTAGTTCCTATCAGAGAATGACTGTACAACCTCTACTTTGCTTATTTGTAGAAAAACTAACCCTGACCCAAATGACAACCCCATGGACCAAAAGGAACAAGCCGATGTGGAAGATGATGAAGAGACCGCATGTTCTTCTTCTACAGAAATTGTTAATGCAGTTCCCCCGGCACTCGTCCTGTTCCCAGGAACTGTTAGTTCAGGCTCTAAAAGGTTATACAACGGAGGTCATAGGGGTAGACATGGCAAATTAAATTTGATCTATCCTGAACAATTCTTGAATCAAGAGGAAAAAGCCGATATAGAAGATGATGAAGAGAGTCAATATTCTTCTCCTTCAGAAATTGTTAATGCATATCCCCCGGCACTCGTCCTGTTCCCAGGAACTGTTAGCTCAGGCCCTAAAAGGTTATACACCGGAGATCATAAGGGTAGACTTGGTGAATTAAAATCGATCAATCCTGAGCAACCCTTGGATCAAGAGGAACAAGCTAGTGTAGAAGATGACGAGGAGCCGTCATGCTCTTCTCCTACAGAAGTTGTTATCTCAAATCCCCCGCCACTGGTCATGTTCCCAGGAACTGTTGGATCAGGTTCTAAAGGGTTATACAAAGGAGATCGTAAGGGTAGACATGGTGAACTAAAATCGATCCTTCCTAGACAACCGGGTCCAGATAATGGTCACACGTCTGCAGTTCAAAGTTTTTCGCCGCAACCGCTCCCTCGGCGATTACCACCTTTGCAAACATAATAACGTTATGCTACGAATTATTTTGCTATTATATCGCCATACATTATGTTACAGAAGGAGGATATTTGAAAAGGAGGGACTATTGGATGCATATGAAATATTCAGTTTTGACACTGAAGGGGGGGGGGGGGGGCGGTTCAATTACCCGACAGTTACATGTATGTCCAACTTCTCCTCCTCCTCCTCCCCCGAAACAAAATCCTCGGACCGCAGTGAGGGTGGCGACTTGTATATACCGACTAGTTGTTATCATATACTGTATATTGCATAAACACTGTAGGCCTACTGATGACTAATCACCAGTCTAATCCTGAGAGATGTAAATAGCTAAGGTCACGTTTTTACTTGCTAAATTTTTATTTTTGGTAGACTCGTAATGGAGGTGGAGACAGATGAATTCACCCTTAGCCGTAAAAACTAGACATTTAGAGCTCGAAACAGCAAATGTCGGGCATATCTTGGATTTCCCCAATATGCCCTAGGATACACACTTCTGAGAAACCAGTTATTTATCATAAGATAATGAAGATGTGGAAAATTCTGAGAAACAAACTTTAGGTTATAATGGGCATCATGTGTTCTAGGCAGTTGAAAACAATGTATTCCCATGGTAGGAGGCGAGGGTACAGGGGTAGGTGGCAGATATCCTGGGGTCTCTCAAAATGCTCAAGGACACAGGGTTGTTAACTGCGAGATATGTATTAAAGGGGTAATAAGTGAAAGTCACCGACAAATATCTTAATCCGATAATGTTCCCTTTAAAAACAGCTTTACCAACCGGACTAATAGTCCCTATTTGCAGATTGAGATTCATCCCCAGCGGTATGGGCATTGGATACCTTGGAGATCGAGAGACATTTGATATGAATTCCAGGAATTTATTTTACTATGTCACGGTTCATTGCACGTTGTATACCTTTTAATCTTCAATGTCTGCCTGCACGGAGACACGTTATGATAGATCAGTGGACTACCTGAGTAATGATGGCAGTGCTAGGCTGCTACCGTGCCAGTAATTGCTTACATATATTTACTGAGACCAACTCATAACATGAAATACTATTTTATACCATAAAATAATTGTTTTTATTTTTCCATTGAGAACGCACATTTTAAAGATTTCATTAGAATCGATGAAATGTTAGATACATCTAAGTGGATTGTCAATTTGAAGCTTCTTACAATAAAATGTTTGCTAGTTCAGAACGTTGTGACAATACTAAAAATCTTACACTTTCTTTCTACGCGTGACTGTCAGTTTTCCTTTAAGGCCTTTTAAAATTTCTATTAAAATTAAATTACGGGTACTACTGTGTTAACTTGATACCCCCTGTGAGGGTAACACTCAGAGTTGATTTTCAATCTATTCCTTTGTTGACATTAACGACAACTTCAAACTTTTATCAAGTACTATTCAGGGCTTTGTGATATTCAATTGATGCAATATTAAGCTATGCTGTCGTAATTTTCATATCAAGCTGTTCTTCCGAGAAATAATTGGTGCTTGGAGTATGCAGTTGATGAAAATATTTTAACAATACCCTGTAGGTCATCAAACCCAATCATAATAAAACCAGGACGAGATATTTACAAATTTTCAAAGAAATTTAATTGCGGTTAACCGTTTAAATATCTAGTTTGTATGACCTTCGTCGTCACTTTTGATTTTCTCCTTTTGATCTAGTGACATATACAGCTGTTATGGAATATTCCTCCATCCAGCTCTGATAGCAGCTACAAGTATGGTCCTTGCCTCTTTCTATTGCTCCTTGGGGTTTGGGATTGGGCAAAAGGCCAATAACTTCACCCAGTAATATGTGGAGAATTGCCAGAACTGAGCATTTTAATACGCAGCCCCTATATCACGCCTCGGTCTATTTAATATGTAAAGATAGAGAATTTGTGGCATTCGGTGTCACAGATTTTCTTTTCTCTCTCTCTCTATCTCTCTCTCTCTCTTTTCGAACAATAGAATGTTTTAGTGCGTACAAAAATGCCCTTTAGCATGAAAATAAACAATAAGGCTGTTTGTGTGTTTCTTGTTACCTCTGTAAATAACTCTCTATACGGGCTGCATAGAAATTAGAGAAGAAGAGACGCAGTCTTTCCGTGAAGAGGGAGAGGAGACATGACAAGGCCGTGAGAAATGAAAGTGTTGTTTTTTCTTCTCTGTATGTTATTTCTCTGTTTTTTGGGTGGCGACACAGGTAAGACAATTGATTTGGTTTACTACCTTATTTCAGCTATGTAGAATAACCTTAAATGTGAGTAAGTAACAGCAAATTTTGCTTATATTGTTTAAACAAAACGCAACTAGGCAACTAGTAACATCGATTTGCACAGAGACTCAAACTGTTTTAAAAAGCTGGTAGTTTTGGATTTTCAGTTTACAATATTTATTATGAAAATCTGAATAAGATGTGTAAATATGAACATGCATACAATACTCAACGTATAGCATCTATACCTGTAAGTACACAGGATATTTTAAAGAGATAGAGGAATATGAATAACATATGTACCCTGTAGATTACCTATTTTAATTATACGTTAGCACATGTAGACAGTGTACCAAGAGGTATACAGGGGCTCCGTAGGTCAACGACCCTGAAAGAAAAGAAATGAAAGGCAGTCGGGAAAGCGAAGGGAGTATGAGTGGATTAATTAAGGGAGTGTATGTACCCAGCAAACATAGAACGTTATTATAACGTTACCAAACTTTTTTGGTTATAATATTAACGTTATGGTAACGTTATAACAACACTATTTGTTTGCTGTGAACGTGATGAAAGTAGAAAGGAGGGGCAAGCCCGTGGACGAAAACGAAAGGGCCCCAAACATGCAGATGTAAGATACTGCTCGATAAAAGTCAAAGTTGAAAAATATACCAGCACCCCAACTTCTCCTGATAAATAAATGATGCACAGGTCTAAAGATCTGTTCGGAATACGGAAGTGAGAAATTATATATATTTCTAAATTTCATTTGAGAAAATGAATTTACAGTATATGTTACAGTTATTCATTCAATTCATACCTATATACCTATATAAATCTGGAAAAGGAGCCCCGATCGTATGACAACAGACGTCCCTTTTTCATGAGTCCCACTTTATACAAAAACTCTTAGGCCTGGTATAAGAATGTATCTTTTGTAAACAATGGTTTGCATGGAGTCATGCATTTTGAAATATATTTGTCTGCAACCAAAATATATCATAAAATGCACAATTAATTTACAAAATAGCTTTGTTCATACATGTGAGGAAATGCATATTCTCTGGCAGATAAGAAGCGGATGATGCTGTCCATACTCTAACTTGTCCATTCACATTGTTAACGGTGAAAATGATCTCATCAAAAAATGGCACCAGTTCTGACCTACGGTCCATGCAAAGGTTTTTGCAGACCATGTCACTCTTCTTCTTCTTTTCACCATGGTGATAAGTGGTTTCCACCTGGGAACCCTGCTGTGAATTCCTGAAGCATGAAGCCTCCTTTGCCAGTTCTTATACTAATCTCGATCACTGCAAAGCGAAGTCGCTGCAAGGTTCAAATCCCTCGACCTTTGGCAGCATAAAAAAGATACCTGCTATCTCTGGCATTAGTCTTCTTCCGGCTGCCACTTCCAAATGCCTTATTTTTAAGTGCCCTCCATCCTTCTGCAAACCCAGCATACAGCCTGGTCTGACACATCATGTCCGGCGGCTATCTGGTGGACATCTATAACCTCCTCCCTCAGAGAAACAATTTCTTTTCTTTCTTCATTTGTGAATTCCTGTATCTTCACCATGTGAATACCTGGCGGCCAAAAGGGCCTTTAGCCTTCGGAGATATCCTTTTAGTGCACATGAATAAAAATTCGTCTATTCATCGAGCAATAAACCGCGAATAATTTTTTACTGGTCCACCATGTAACATATAGCACACTATTCACACAGACGGTGCACTACATTTCACCCCTCTCTTACACAATGCTTTTGTTTCAGATGTTCCTGACAACAGTGGCAAGGAATTCATCATAGGTTTTATGGACAATATTGTCATCCAAAGTTTGAACGTATTTCTCACCACCAACAATCCTGCCACAGTTCAAGTCAGGATCTCTGCCCATCCCAACCTGTTGAACCTTCTTCCACTTCAAAGCAGAACGGCAAACGTAAGTCGCGGCTCAGTTACGAAGGTTGACATCCCAATAAGCTTTGCCATGAAGACCACATACAAACAGTTTAATGGTTTGTTTTTATCATCAGATGACGAATTCATACTCTACGGCTCCAACGCCATGTCATTAAGTTTGGATGCGTTTCTAGCCTTACCAGTTGAAAGTCTGGGGCAGGAGTACATCACAGGCAGCTACAAAGCCTGTTTAAGTTTTCATCCTGCATTTGTAGGACTAATCGGGATTCAAAACAGTACGCATGTCGAAATAACTCCTCCCCCAGACAAGAGTATAATAGTAATGGGTGTCACAGTAAGTTCAAAGACACATATCGTTCTGGACAGACTTGAGACCATTCAAATACAATCTTCCAGCGACATTACAGGTACGAGGATTAATTCGACAAAACCACTGTCAGTAATGTCAGGCAATATGTGCAGCAATATTCCTTGTGGGGTTAGGGCCTGTGATCATTTGGTGGAACAGATGTATCCAGTCGATAGATGGGGCTATACGTACATAGTTGTTCCATCAGCTTACCGGCAGAGTGGGGATATTGTCCGCATTGTAGGCAGTACTGATGACACCTTGGTCCGCATAACCGGTATCTCGCGTTTAATGCTTAATAGATCCGAGTTCTTTGAATTTATGGTATTGAAGAACGCTCCTGTATTTCTCAATGCGAGTAAGCCGATTATGGTGTTGCAGTTTACGCAGAGCCATGGAACGGATAATCTGGACAGTGATCCTTACATGATGGTTGTGCCTGCCATAGAACAATTCACGTCCAGTTACACCATCGCTACCGCCAATCTTCCTGATAAAGTTTACAAAAACTTCGTCAATGTAGTCATCAAGAACAGTTCTAAAGAAGGCCTCAGAGTTGATGGAGCCGCTCTCAATGGTGTTACATGGCTAGCCATTCCCGGAACAGACTTTATTGCTGCTCAGCTGAGTGTTACTGCGGGCACACATCGCATAGAGCATATTTCTCCTATCCAGACTTTCTCAGTATTCTCCTACGGGTTTGCTGAATCCGTTTCTTATGGCTATCCAGGAGGGATGAGACTGGCAAACCTGGACGTGACCAAATGTTTACCGAATACTGGTCAGCCGGCAGATGGCGTTGATAACGACTGTGACATGAAAATTGACGAAGAACTCCTTAATGGTATTGACGATGACGACGATGGCGTAATTGATGAGGATTTGTCTTCCCTACCGCCGGATGTGGACTTTCCTAAAGATACAGTAATTGTTTCAGGTAAAGAGATGGGTGAAGAGGGGTCCCGCTTCTAATTTCTAAAACTATTCTTCTGAATAACCAATGATACACTTGTCTTCACCTCAGTTTGACGTCATATATTCTTTTATAAGTGGGTTTTTGCATAAATTCAATTAGCTTTTGATTACAGCAATATTTACTTCTAAACATTTGTGGTTAATTTGCAGGCGACGCGTCAGTTACCCATACCATAACGATCGAAGCTGGCACCCCAAATGCGACTGGTTCTGAGCGCTGTGTTGCCTATCGCGATATCACCATTAACTACACAGATACGACCAATGATAACGGCTGTGGGGTGGACATCAAGCGCACGTGGCTCGTGCAGGACGGGTGTGGGAACATCGTGCGGTCAGTTCAGACCATATTTGTTTACAATTCATGGCAAGCTCTCCGGGCACATCCTGGACAGAACTGTACGGGGATGGTGGAGGTAGTGGGGTGCAATGACACTGCAGACGGTGGGTTCTCAGTTTAAAGCACTGTAATGTTCACCTTGGAAAAATGAGATGTGTGCACAATTTCATCAACTTTGAAAAATACGTTAATTCAATAGAAATGTAGAGGGTCTTAGGTCAATAACTTGAGAAATCTTGAGACTGTTAGCAGACGAAATTTTGGTCGTTTAGTAGTTATGTAGGCATATTTACAAAAGCCATTTACAAAACAAAAAATCATCAAATTTAATCTGGAAAAAAATGCAGAATTTCCGTTTATGAGCCTGTTGTGAAATAAATGTACGAAATGACCTATTGATACGTTAGCTTCAGTGGTTGCCCAATGCACAACTACCCCATGCCAAGGCAATGAAAGCCACATCGTGCATGCAGGTGATTTTGGTTGTGCCTGTGACCCGTTTCTAGACACCGTCAGGTGTGTGCAAGGTATGTAACGACGCGTGAGTTTCTTATGGCATCATTATAGACTTTCTTTTATATTAATCCATCAAATAGCACCTACACACGCTTCTTTCTATAGGTTATCTTAGGTTTATCAAACAACCCCTTGGTTGTATTGACTAGCTGGCACGGATAACCTTTCTTTCGCTTCTGAGTAAGGAAAAGAACAAGATATGATGTAAACAATCTTAACTAAGATTTACATTTACATTTGGCGACCTGTTTGGCTTCAAGATCGGTCCTAAGGTGGGATTCACAGTCACCATTATACTGGATTGTTCCAATAGCAGAAAAGTGAGTCATTCTGTTAACACAACCAGGCCCGTTGCCAACAGTTTCAAGATGGGGGGGGGGGGGGGGGGGGGT